GGAGAAAAAGTGTTGTGCTCAGAACACATCCCTGGGGGACACCTTCAGCTTGGATAAAGTCCTGGGAGAGCACATTATTAACCCGAACACGTAAATGCCTGTCAGTTAAAAAGTTCTTAAGGAAGGATGGTAGATTGCCTCGGAGGCCTAAGGAGTGGGCTTGGGCCAAAATATTATACCTCCAAGTTGTGTCATGTGCCTTCTCAAGGTCAAAAAATATGGCAATAACCGAGTGGTTATTCGCAAAAGCATTACGAACATACGTATCCAAGCGTAGTAAGGGGTCTATGGTAGAATGTCCCTTACGAAAGCCATATTGACGAGTGGAGAGACTGTTGTCTCTCTCTAAATACCACACTAAACGTCTATTTACCAGGCGTTCCATTACTTTGCAAACTGCATTGGTAAGAGCAATGGGACGATAGTGGGAGGTTTCATGTCCCGTAGTGCCTGGTTTGTGGATAGGGAGAACAATGGCAGATTTCCACGGCTGTGGAAGAACTCCTTGTGACCAAATAAGATTGAAAAGGCGTAATAGGACTGCAAGGGCTGACTGATGTAAATGTTGTAGCATACGAATATGAATGTCGTCGGGCCCAGCTGCCGATGATCGGCAAGCTGAGAGTGTTGCCTCAAGTTCTTGAAGTGTAAAAGGCACATTATACTGTTCTTCTCTGAGAGAAGGAAAGTCCAAGGGTGCTAACTCTCTGGCAGACTTTGAGGAAAGAAACGAGGGGCATAGATGGAGCCCCTGAGAAATACAGACCAGATGATTGCAAATTTCATTGGCATCATCTAGTGGGTTTGCTATATCAACACCGGCAACCCGCAGAACAGGAGCCGGGTCAGGAGAATATTTACCACTCAGTTTTCGTACTTTTTTCCAGACTGCACTAATAGAGGAAGCATAGGTGATGGTGGAGACAATCTCTCCAGCAAGTGCGTTTAGCTTCACGGATGACATGGCGAGCGATCGCACGCTTCTGCTTAAAATCAAGAAGTCTCTCCGTGGTTCTATTGTACTGGTACCTGCCCCATGCAGCGCGTATCAAATGTAATGCACGAGTGCAAGCAGGAGACCACCAAGGCACGCATTTCTGAGAATGCCTGCCCGAAGTTTGAAGTATAGAATGAGAAGCTGCGGTTAAAACCGAGGACGAGAAGAGGTGTAAAAGCTCATCAATGGAGGATGAAGAAGGAACCTCACTAAAAACAGTTAGATGTGAGTAAAGGTTCCAATTTGCTTGATCAAATTGCCAGCGTGGGATACGAAGAGGTGGTGAATATGAAGGGAAAGTAAGAATGATTGGGAAATGATCGCCGTCATGTAAATCCGGGAGAACAGACCAGGTGAAGTCTAATGCATCGGAGGAAGAGCAGACTGAGAGATCAATGCAAGAGAGTGAGTCCGAGGATCAAAATGGGTGCGAGTACCTGTATTTAAAACATGGAGGGGGTTGGTAGCAAAAAAAACCCTCTAACTGAATGCCACGGGAATCAGTGAGACCCCTCCAGAGGAAATGATGGGTATTAAAATCTCCAAGTAACAGAAGCGGTGGCGGTAATGACGAAACAAGAAAGGCAATATCCGGAATAGATAATGCCCGAGAAGGAGAGAGATATAAAGAACAGAGCTTATACCACCTATGCAAGTGGATACGGGCTACTGTGCAATGCAGCGAAGTACAAACAAATAGCTGATGGTACGGAATATCAGCGCGTAGGAGAAGGGCACTTTCATTAAAGGTCCCATCAGGAAAAGGATCTGAAGAATACAATAAATTATAGCCTGAGATGGGAGAGATAACAGCAGAGTAATTTTGGTTCCTGTAAGCAAACACCAACATGGGAAAACTGGGAGAGTAACATCTGAAGCTCACCCCGATTTTCCCTGAGGCCGCGTATATTCCACTGTAAATAGGCCATGATTGGCAATGATAAAGATACCTGAAATATGCAGGTAGGGGTTCCTATGGACTAGAGGGGATAAAGAAGTCCACATGCGGAGGCAGCAGAAAACGTTCAAGCAGCGAAGGAACGGTGCACTCTGAAGAAAGGAGTTGCGCAGATGGAGGAGAGGAGAGAGAAGGAACAGAGGGTGGATCAGTGTCCATTGATGGTTTGGTCTCTGCAATTTATTCAGAGATTGCTTCAAGTGTTTCGGAATTCAGAGACGTCGTATGGGAGACAATATTGGAGATGGTAGAGGGAGGATGAGTAAAGACTGGAACTGTAATGGACTGTACCAAGGTAGGGGGAAGGGCGAAAGGGGGGAGGGAACTGGAGAAGAAGCGTGGAAGGGGACAGAAGAGGCAGAAACCTGGGAGGTGGCAGAAGAGGAAGAAACTTGGGAAGAAACTTGGGAGGGAACAGGGGAGGAAGGTACAGTACGAGGAGGAGGGTGAACCTCTATACTTGTAACAGAGCCAGTGAGAGGGGAAGAACCAGGTACAGAGACAGGGAAGGTAAAATGAGGAGGTGGATGAAGGGAAGGAGGGGTTAAAGGACCTCTTTTTGACTTCTGAGAAGTAGAGGGACGATTGGGAGGTGTCGTCGTACGAGATCTCGTCGATACTGAAGCTTGTGAGGGAGAACACGAAGCGAGAACAGACCGAGTCGTTGAAGTAGAGACGTCTGAGCCTTGGACAACAAAAGAATTAGATACAGTAGTGACTGTTGGAGAGGTAACCACAGAGGAGGCTGCAGAAGATGGGACCCCAGAAGTGGGGGGACGTTTTGAAACGCGGGAATAAGAAACACGAGGTAGTCTCCCTTGGAGGCAGAGATGAGAAACTGCCATGACATAAGGGAGACCTTCTGCCTCTTTGAGGTAACGGATTTCCCGCTCATTTAAGTAGACTTGGCAATGGCGACAGTACGAAGGGTGAGCCTCATGACAATTAAGGCGAGAGGGAGGTCGATTGCAAGACATATTAGAATGGTCATCGGCACCACAGACTGGGCACTCGGCTATAGATCTGCAATATTTTGCTGGATGGCCAAATCGCCAGCAATTTCTACACTGTTGCGGTGTAGGGATCACCTTTCAAACTTGTAACCGATGTCCTGCTACACAAACTGAGGATGGGAGTTCACGGCTGTCAAAAGTTAAACGAGCCACATTGCTAGGGTATCGTCTCCGCCCGCATGCAGGAAGAACATAAGTGTCTACCTTGAGGATTGGGAGATCTTGGAGTTCCAGCTGTTCAAGAATGTTATTGCCACATGTCTGGAAATTTCGTTGAACTATGGTATGGGGCAGAATGATGGTACCACTACAAGAATTGAGGGAATGATGTTTTTCAATAGTGTCAGGAACAGTATCGATATGGGAAAGAAAAAGATCATGAGCTTGGGTAGCATTCTGTACAGTGATGATGCGTGTACCACTCTTAAGAGCATGAAAAGAAATATCTTTACCAACATGGCGTAGGAGTGCCTTGCCAATACTGTGGTTGGAAAGATAGGCAGTAGAGGAAGTCGGTCGTAAAGTGAAGAATTTAGTCCATTGTGCAGTCTGAAACAGAGTGGAAAGGGGGTGCAGGACTTGTCGATCTTTTCTGAGAAGAACGAGAAGGTGGAGAAGTATCATCAGTGGGTAATTGTCGTTGGCGTTTAGGCGTGGACCAGAGTTGGTCCGATGTGGAACGGGCCGGCAATTCGAAAATTGCTGCATCATAGAGGGAGAGGCTGGAAGCATAGTCAAAGGAGAGTGGAGGTCAGATAAATCGACGGAGTCGGTCGAGACCTCAGTACCTGAAGCGGGTGAGGAAATAGCACCGGCAAGAGGTACAGAGGCACGAGGAGTGTCCGAAGAGTGGTCCAAAGACTAGGCGGGGTCAGAACGGGGTGCTGTATCAAGACGCCTGGGGGTAGCAGGTTCATGGACTAGGGCTTCCATGATTAGGTTACTTATTTCTTTTTGTTTTTAAGAAAAAAAAAGATACAAGAAAATAAAAATATAAAAAGAATAAAAAAAAGGGGGGACCGGGGAGGGATAGCTCCTAGGAGGATTGAAAGGGCCAGAAATCTCCCTCTGCGCCCAAGAGGACCTCAGTACCGCAAGTAGCGCAGATGCAGCATGGAACCCGTGCCATACCCTACCCATCATGCCAGTAAACCAGCAATCCGGGATAGCAGCCTCACATCTGCCGAGCTACCTCGGTGGACAAAAGAGAGGGCGGCCGGATATCCACCACAAAGCATGCCTCCTTTGGCCACCTCCCCTGGAATCTGAAAGGTGGCTTCCAGAGATACACCCGTCACCCGAGACACACCCAAAGCCACCCTCCGGGATACCGGAGAGGGATCACGATATCCCCAGGCAATCCAGATTCCACGGCAAACTACGCCACCGCCAAGAACCTCAATGGAATGGGATGGACCCCGGTTCCCTTTCCCCTACCTAGGAATTAGCGTGCTTGTGGGAAAAAATCCCAAAGGCCAAAAAGGAAGGGCAAAAGGGAGGGGTGGGGAGGAGGAGGAGTAAAGGAAAAAGTGGAGGATGGGGAGGATGGGATAGGGAAGGGGGGATTGGGGGTAATTAGGTTCAGTCTTAGGAAGGAGACCGACAGGTCTAATTCCACAGACCAAGAGCCTCTTCACCACAACAAGGAGCCCCCATTGAAGAGGCCTCCATGAAAAAACTTTAAATCCCATCTCTGCAGCATCTGTGGTGGTCGTCCATCCTTCAGGAAGCAACTGAAGTAGTCGATTAATGTGTACACTTTTTTTTTTTACTTTTAGAATAAACTGAATGTTTAAAGGTACTCATTGAGACTATGTTCCACATTATTTAGTTTGTTTACATTAAGTGTGAGTAGTGTTAATTAAGAACAATTTAAGTAGGACAGAAGTGTCAAAGTACCAAGTCTTTAAGAAACAACACTTCCAGACATTCTGTAAGGCATATTAAATCTGCCCCTTCTATCTCGTTTTGTGGTTTTAGTGTCCAAAAGTAATGAATGTAAATAATATATGCAAGTGTAGTTTTGACTTACCACAAGCATATCTTGGTAACAGTCCGGGTGAAAGTTGGCACCGTCAACACGTTTAACATTTTCATATCGCCATTCTTCAGCTTCCTGATGGAAGAACTGGGAAAAAGCTTCCTGGCAGACGGGACACACTCCTGAAGTCGAGTCTGGAGACACAGCTACACTTGGTTTCTCAGCTTCCTCTTCTGGTATGGTTGCATTCAGGTCCTCCAGTTCAAACACAATTGGTACTGTTAATAGAAGATATTTTAATTCAGCGTTAATGACAAAGAATATTTTTTTTTAAGTCAATTTACTGCAGTACACACCTCGACTATCTTGCCTGTACAGAACGTGTATCCACTGTCTTCACACAATCTTTTCAAATAATTTTCTTCACAAAGTATGTAATTTGTAGGAGATTTAATCAACAAGTGATGATGAAATATCTTCCATCAATTTTTGTTATTCAGACTTTGTTAGTTTGAGAAAGACCATTTTCTAAACCTCCCTGCCAGATGATAGCTCAAAATCACTTCTGTATAATGTCTTTAGTTTTAAGGATGAAGAGTCAGAAAAATCTATTGGCAGCATTATGTCTTAATCAGAGAATGAAAAAATCAGACATACTCAGTAACTATCTCTTGTGCATGAGGTAAAAGAATCTAATTTTTACTGTAAGAAAACATCTGTATCGAACATTCACATGGCCTCTCATACTAAGTTATATAAACCAGTTGTACGAAACACACAATCTTATTTCACTTACAAATGATGATAATGACTTACCTTTGTTATCACCATCATCAATTTCTTCAAACATCAACCAGTCTTCAGTTGATAAGTAGAACATGCGAGAATATGGTTCGCTGGTCGACTTTCTCTGACGTTTGTTGTATCGGAAATGCCAATCCAAGTGTTGCGAATACTGAAGTACTTGTTCAGGCTTAAATCGCCGCTCACAAGAAGAACACTGTTTTCCACTGTACAGAGCGACTATGAGACTCTTATTTCGTCTGCAGGGGGAAAAATTACTTCTTTTATTGAAAAATATAGATCGAAAATTATAAAACAGTGGCTTCACTCACAACGAATTCACCACTTTACTCATCTACAAGATTCTTAATTTGATTCACTTCACCTTAATTAAGTCCTATCTATAAATCCTGTACTTCCTAAAATCTTACTCTCACACTCTTATTTATCCCAACTACAATATTCTCTGGATTTATATGCCTTGCCTAAAAAAATCCACTTTTCAGGCACTTTCCTGCATATTTTTATTACAAAATCTTTCTTCTTTGGGAGGATTTTGTGTGTTCTCCACCAATGTTGCTTCCAATTTAATTGCTAGCCATTTCTTGCTTACATCATTGAACATCCATTATCTATATTACAAATAAAGCGCTAAACCGACAAGGGTCATGCAGCGCTGGGGGCAGAAAATAGTGCCAGGGCTATAAACAGCTAGGTGGAGAGGGGATCAGAGGTGAGGGGAGAAAAGGGGGCTGTCAACGTTCGTAAAAAGTAGTTGCTGGCAAAAAGTCAAAAAGTGACCGTAAGTCAAAGGCAGGACCGTCTGCAAGATAGGAAGATAAGGTAAGAGTGATAGGGCGTCGGCGGAGGTAAATCCTGCGAACTCGCTGGTAAACCGGACAATCCACATGAAAGTGAAGAACATAAATAGGGACCAGACAAACCTCAGAGAGGAATAGGGTGTCGCTCCACCAGATACCCAATTGATAGGCGAGTATGCACGATGCAGAGACGGGAGAGTGCAGTCTTCCTAGTACGGCAACAGTGGTAAGAAGATGGCCACAAACCCAAAAGCAGTTTAAAAGAGTGTAATTTATGATACATGTCTGACCACCTTGTTGTCAACGGCCCCGAAAACGGGCAAAGATGACGGTAAAATAATCCCTGAACGGAATACCTCCATAGGAAATCAGAAGATTATGCACAAACCGCGCGGAAGCGTCCGCATGTTCATTGCCCTGCACATCAACGTGTCCAGGGATCCAACAGAAAATGACGTGTTTGTTTTTGCTAGCTACACGGTGAAACCAAAGTTGAATATGGAAGACCAATGGATGAGGGAAATCAAGTTGTTTAATGGACTGTAAAGCGCTGAGGTTATGCAAAATGATCACAAACGCCGAAGGAAACATGTAATACGGAGAAGCACTATGAGGACGGCATACAACTCGGCGATAAAAAATACTTAGTCTAACAAATGACCTTGGATGACATCGTCAGGGAACAGCCGCGATCCCAACACCGTCAGAAGATTTAGAATCATCTGTAAGCAGCGACGGTATGAGCATGCCACCGTAAGTGATCAAGAAAGAGAGAGCGAGAAGCAGTCATAGGTAGGAGAGCTTTGGCGCATCGCAGTAGCGGAGAACACACGAACCGTCGGAACCTCCCCAGAAGGAAGGGAAAGGCGGATGCTAAATGAACATACAAGGAAGACAACTGGAGAGAAGACCGGAGTGAAGACGAAGAGGAAACGATCGGAGTAAGCAGGGGGTGCCAAACAAATAATGGGCATCTAGTAACATCTGAGACCAACCTCTACGTAGAAGGAAGGTCATGAGGGCGAAGAAAGTAACAAAGGCATTGAGTATCACGGCGATCAGCTAAGGAAGGAACATTCGCCTCTGCATAGAAACTTTCAACAGAAGATGAACGAAAGGCACCAAGGCATAAACGTAGACCCTGATGATGAAGAGGATCTAACTTAGAGTTGTAGGACAAGCCGCAGAATAGACTTGGTCGCCAAAATCCAGCTTGGACAAGACTAGGGTGGAATGCAATTGAAGGAGAGTCCGGGGATCTGCTCCCCATGAGCGATGCGCTAGAATTTTAAGGAGATTCAGCTGACCATGGCAAGCTGCTTTCTAAGAGGAAATGTGAGGTTTCCAAGTCAACCGGCGATCGAAGAGATAGCCAAGAAACTTGACCGTATCACATTCCGGGATATGTGAACCGTGTAAATACCATGGAATATCTGGGACAAGAGGACGTCTAGTGAAGGTAATGAAAAGGGTTTTCGTACTAGAAAATTTAAATCCATGAGAAGTGGCCCAGTGGAAAACCCAGTCAATCCGTAAGCTATAGCGAAGTAATCCACATAAAATGACGACCAAATATGCGATGGAAGAACGGAAGGTAGGCCATTTATAGCCAAGAGAAAAAAGGTAGTGCTGAGAACACAACCTTGTGGGACTCCCTCAGCCTGAAAAAAGTCTGAGGAAAGCGAGGCGCCAAAACGGACACGAAAATGTCAGGTAGATAAGAAAGCAGCAAGGAAGGCTGGTAGATTACCACAGAGACCTAAGGAGTGGCGTGGGCTAAGACGTTATACTTCCAAGTGATGTCATATGCCTTCTCGAGATCAAAAAGATTGCTTGGATAGTGTGTTTATTAGCGAAGGCATTTCGCACATACGTATCTAAGTGAAGCAATGGTTCCAAAGTAGAGCGGCCCTTGCGAAAGCCACATTGTTGAGGTGAAAGACTATCGTGAGTCTCCAAATATCATATCAAACGTCTATTCACCAACTGTTCCATCACTTTGCAGACTACACCGGTCAGAGCAATGGGACGATAGTGAGAGGTATCAAACCCCGAGGTGCCTGGTTTGCGAAACGGTAATACAGTCACACATTTCCATTGTTGAGGGAGAACCCCTCATGTCCAAATAAGATTGAAAAGACTCAGAAATACTGTAACGACTGTAGAATACAGATGTTGTAGCATACTGATATGAATATCATCAGGCCGAGACCCAAGGCAAGAGGAACTCGTACTCGTCTCACCGAAAGCGGAAACGTGACTCAAAAAACTTATGAAAGAATCGTCAGATTTGCAACGTGAAGGCGTAGTGAAGAACTCACATGGAAGACCATAGTTTGCAAAAATCAATGAGTGAGAAGACACGAGACACGAAGACATTATGATAAACGTCCCGATTAAATTAGTTAACCCCTCAGGAAATGCAGAAAAAGAAAACGTGACGCAAACAACCTTACGTAACTTTCCGTATGTCTCCAAGATGATGTGCTGACGAACACACAGCTAGAAGGACCATCCTTCACCCCCCTTCCTCCCAGGAACACAACTTAATGTGTGAAAATCCCCAGATATTATGACAAACTCGACGAGTTCACAGTGAGATCAAACCTAATTATTATTATAATCAAAAAGAAGCGCTAAGCCACAAGGGCTATACAGCGCTGCAGGGTAGGGAAGGAAGCAAGGGAATTGGATGGCAGGAGGGAGGGGGGATGATCAGCAGGTTACAGAAAACAGCGGGGCAGGGGATAGTACGGGGAAGGGTACCCAAAGATAACAAGTAAAAGGGGGCTGAAAGTATCAGAATTTGTAAAAGTAAGTCAGTCGTTTTTTCAAAAAGCCCAAAAGAGAGTCCGGTTTAAAGGGGGTCCATCAGGAAAGGGGGAAGGTAAAGAGAGACCGGGGGGCAAAGGGCGAGGGCCCCAAGAGGAAATTCTGCGTGCTCGTTGAAAAAAGGGGGCATTTCCAAAGAAGTGGTTTGACTGAAAAAGGACTTGGAAATTTCCCTCACAGAGAGGAGCAAGTCGCCTCTCCATGAAAAACCCAAAGAGAAAGCGAGTAGGGCCCAAATTCGAAGACGGGAGAGAGAAGTCTCCCCAACCTCGACACTGGTGTAAGAAGACGGCCAAAACCTATACTCGTTTAATAGACTGAAGTTTGTTCCCGAGCATATTTAGACCAACTTTGTTCCCAAGGGGTGTGAAGGTGGAAGAAATTACAGCAAAATAGTCCCGTAATGGAATCCCTTTTAATAAACGGGTAGGTCCATTTTTACTGCTGACCGCGCAGCAGGGGGCCTGTTAAATCCCCGTACGCAACTTTACCGGGGACCCAACAAAAAAAAAATATTTTTATGCTTAGTAAAGATGGGGCTACCCAAATTTTTGGATACGGAGGAAAATGGGGGGTGAGGTTTTTATCAAATTTTTGTATAGCCTGAAAAACCACAAAGGGGGTCTGAGAAAACCCCACAAATTTTTTGACCAGGCATAGATGCAAACGGATAAGTGCTGTAAGGATGGCATTTTAATTTCACAGTAAAAATACTAGCTGAAGATAGAAAATTTCCCCTTGTACGACGCTGCCCCAAAACCACTGCTCGAATCCAAACCCCGCAGAAGACTTAGAGCCATCTGTGTACCAGCAAGGAAATGAGAAGGGAAGATTGAAAGTGGTTAAGAAAAAAGAGAGGGGGGGAAGCGCCCTTTGACTTTTGGGCCCTTTCGAGCAAGGGGGGGAGAAAAAACCCGACTCGAACAGCTGGAATTTCCCCGGGGGGTTGGGGAAAAAAGTGAGATGCTACATGTACATAGAAAGGGGTAGTTGAAGAGAGACAAACGAATGAAGGCAAAAGAGAGAAGGGACGGAGTAAGCGGGGGCCCGGCGAACAAAAAAGAATGTCTACTAATATCAGTGCCCTTTTTCTATAAAGGGGAAGGATTGGGGAATCTGAGAGCGTACATTTCGCAGGCAATGGGAAATCACGGGGGATCGGAAAAGGAAATGGAACTTCCCGCTTCTCAAAAGGGGTTTTCGACGGGGGAAAAACGAAAAGCACCAAGGCAAAAAACGTAATCCTTGGGAGGGAAGGGTTTTTAAAGGCCCTAGGGAGTAGCAGGAAAAGCCCCCCGGAATTTAATCTGGTCCCCATAACCCAATTTTCGTTAAAAATAAGGGTGGAATGTGGGTGAAGGGGGGTTTGGGGACGACCCAGTTTCCCCCCAAAAGATGAGAAAAGGGTTTTAAAAAGGGTTAAACCCCGGGTGTGACAATTGCCTTCAGAGAGGTAATTTTAGGTTTCCAAGGATAACCTCCCGATCAAAGAGGAGGCCCGAAACTTGACTGTTTTCACGTTCAGGGATACGTGGCCATGAGGAACAAAAGGATGATAGAGATTCGGGAGCGTCTAGTGAAAGTGATTTGGGGGGGTTTTGTGCGGG